GGGGGGGGGGGTGCCGGGAGAGAAACGAGAGAAAACAGAAGCCTCTTCTTTTCCTGGATTATGGGCGGGACCGGCCGCGAGAAAGGCCACTCCCACCAGAGTTACCCTGTGAGGCTTGACTGAGTGCACATCGATGTATGTGCCACGACGAGGTCCGCAAACGCTCAGAGAGGGCACACACTGGGGGCCCAATAACGCAGACTGCAAGGGCGGTCACCCAGGCCCAGGGTGTCTACAAAAAAACGCGGGGGCGAGTGAGGTGGTATAAGAGAGTAGTACTGCTGTACCAGGAGCCAAGGGCCGAAACAACGCAAGCGGTAGCCGTAACGTCGCACAGCGGGCAAACCTCTCCGTGTAGCAATTCGTGCAGGTCCGCTTGTGGATGGTGATGGTGTCTTCTCCCAGGTCGATCACGTTGAAAGCTCCGTGCAGTGTCTCAGCACTGACCTAGTTTAAACCGCCGGTTGCCCAAGAAGAACACGTTCGAGACGACGACGGTAACAACGATCAAAAAGGCGTTTCGTTAACCTCCACGCAGATCGAGGTGAAGGTTGACGCAGGGGGGTCACACCAACCCCTCGCGTGCCTGCTGCAGGGCCCCTCGACTATTTATTGACCATGGCCCGTTCCGAAATACCGTAATACCGTATGTTGCAAAAGACAGAACACATCCTGGACCGATTTTCAAAGCTCGATAACTCTACAGAGAAAGCACAATTATTATGGTGCCGAGAGTGGCGACTTTGGAGCCGTCTCGTCGACATCTTGCCGAAAATGCATCATTTGATTGCCGAATCTTCATTGTTGAGAGGTAATCGAGCTATGGAAATCGGTCAAGGGGGTTTGGCATCTTGTGCAAGCTACGGTACCAACGCTCCTGCCCCCGCTCAAAAGCACCTTCTACACTCCGGGTATGTACTTCCGCTGCTGGCCTCTCGTCGCTCTCCCTCCTCGAACTACCGCCTAGAACACGCGTGGGTCTCAACCAACATAAATTATCGGCGACAAGGCCCCCAACCTGATGCAGCCAAAACTCGATGTGCTCACATGCTCGCGAATGTGCTTATCCGGCATCCCATGGATTCGGAGGAAACGCTCCATCGTGTCGGACCTGCAACCGTTGCGTTCATCCGGAAGGTTGAAGTCAGAAATCGACGGCACGGATTTCAATGTACCGGAGTACGGACAGGTTCTTTTCCCTGGTTAAATGTGGTCCGACAACGGGACGGTCCATGTGTAACGGACAGCGAGGAGGTTTCGATAAAATGACAGGCTGGTTGGTGCCCACAAAACCGTCGCCCCTGGGAACCGGCTAAAAAAAACACCTTTTGGGTTACAGTTGACAAAGCGCATGAATGTTTGCTCATTGAACGCCTGTCAGTCTCCACACAGCATGCGATCCTTGCGCTAGCCATCTACGTCCCGTTGTCGTTCGTGTTTTTTTTGTTTTGCGCGTCGAAGAGGTTATTTGCCACCCGCAAGGTATTGGAATGCTGGGCGAGTGGCCTATATCGCGGCTTGACGAAGTCAATGTTCGGAGCGACCGACCGGAAGTGAGATTTGACGGTAGTGCAAGAGGAGGACCAGCAAGAAGAGAGGTATATAGTCGCAATAGGGACGGAGGCGTGTGCTCAAGATGCTGCTCCCTCCCCTTCGACTGAACGCTTCGCCGTGCATCCCTTCTCGGCAAGCACGCGTCCACTTCAGATACAGCAGCGACGCCACCCACACCCTTCTCACATAACACACTTGGCGCATTTTACACAGAGCATCCTTGGGGTACCTCTTATACAGTACACCGCATTTTCTGGGAGCAAAATTTTGGGAAAATGCACACGTTGGATAGATCATGATCTAGATGATCTGTGGTTTATCGATCAAGCGTTGGAAGTATCATAGATGATCTGTGGAGTATTGATCAAGAGCCGCAGGTATCACCGATGATCTATGGATTATAGATCAAGAGCGGCAGATATGTTCGGATCAATCTGTTTCAAATGATCAAGAGTGGAACATCACGGATGATCTATGGATTATTGATCATGTAAAGCAGATAATGTACAGATCTGTGTCAATAGATCAAGAACCGGAAATATTACAGATGATCTATGAATCATAGGTCAAGAGTGGCAGATATGTTCGGATCAGTTTGTCTCAATAGATCAAGAGTCGGAAATATCACAGATAATCTATGGATTATTGATCAAGAGCGACAACCGATGTCCGAATCAATGTATGAACACTCGAAAAGTCACAAATAATCTGTGGTCCTGTGGCCTACAGATGAAGAGCCAAAATATGTCGTTGTTGTTGTTGCACATATAAACTGTTCCGTTCTCTCTGCCCAGTTGTGGTCGACAGGTGTAGAAATGCTGTCACCATTGTTGCACATACAAAAGTAGGACCAAGATACGATCTGACCGGAGGATCTTACTGATGGTTGATCAGCAAGAGACCCGACTATGGATGCGTCCCTCTTGGCGCCACCTGTGGAGCTTGGGAATCCGAGACCCTCGGGCTTGGTCGCCCTCGCCCATTCGGGGGCACTCTCTCTTTTGTCTCTCTCTTCGGAGACCCTCTTCTCTCTAAATCTCAACGAAGAGAACTGCCAGCCCGTAGTAATGGGTTAAGACTACTGCGACCTGGGCCTCCCCCACACGAGGGAGGCCTGTGTCCTTACAGTATCTTTTTCTGTCCGTACTACTCAAACACTCACGACAACACCTGACGGTCGATTCCCGTGGTCATGGGCTGACTTACCCAAAAAAAGGTGCAGTACACGAAACCAAAATGGATCCGAAGGGTCTGAAAGTCAACAGAACTTCATGACAGGCGAGTCGTCCGAGGGCTAGGGCTCCCATCATCGCCCACGGGGATAACCCCTTGGTCTGCAGCCGAGGCGGCGGCAGAGCTGCCGCTAGGCTTATACCTAATATGCGGAAATGTTTTCCTTTATGCCTATTTTTTCGGCCGAGCATGTGCTTACAGCAGCGAATTATGCGCGCAGTTATTCTCGTTTTCCAGTTATTATGCGTGAACTTATGCACGGTTGTTTTTGCCGACGGAGTCGATATATAAGGCATTTTAAAACACTTAAGGTAACGTTGTTGACTCTGATTTTGTGTTCTGTGCTCTGTGCTCCTCTGATTCCTTCGCACGAAACAACAAGTGTACCACTCAAGAAGCAACACACAGACGAACGGACACCACGAGAACACCGGCCACAATCATGGCTACACCACTCCCCAGCTCCCAGCACGCCCTATTTGNAGGCATTTTAAAACACTTAAGGTAACGTTGTTGACTCTGATTTTGTGTTCTGTGCTCTGTGCTCCTCTGATTCCTTCGCACGAAACAACAAGTGTACCACTCAAGAAGCAACACACAGACGAACGGACACCACGAGAACACCGGCCACAATCATGGCTACACCACTCCCCAGCTCCCAGCACGCCCTATTTGCCCGGCCTCTGTTGTACTTAAGAAGTGCGGATGCAGTCACGCGGTCGCTAAAACTATTCTCGTGCCTTGCATCCATACAAGCACGCAGGATTGAAAAAACACGTTCCATGAAGGCAGAGGACGGTTGGAGCAAAGCGATATCTTTCGCAACTTGATACCATTGAGAAAGGTTTCTTTTGTGCCTATTGTCATGCCAGAATGCCCACAAGTCGTAGCCGGTGTCAACTTCAGAGGCAGCGATATTATAGTCAACCATCTGATCTTTTAGTCTCGCGACGACATCTTCCGAAACGAAGGGGAAGCGATCGAGGAGGTCGATGTCAGCAACATTCAACTGATGCTGCTTCACATAGCGGAAGTCGAAGAGCCGCGCAGCCTGGAAGAGGGCGATACTCTCGCGTTGCTCCGCATTGGGATGGTCCCCGATCCTCTCCCAGGTGTACGTCTGCACGAGGAGCATGTCTTTGCGCACGTGTTTCTCGAACGTGGAGATAATCACGGCCTACACAATCCGAGAAAGCAGAAAGCATAAAACATCGGGGGGGGGGGGGGGGGGGGGGGGGGGGGG